TTTATCTATATGTACTTAGCACATAGTTACATATATCCATTTAAGCTGAAAATTTAAATTTTTGTGTTAAATTTTAATTATTAAAATATATAGGTAGGTATATAATTAACTTTAAGCATTCTAGAAGCCTAAATATATTGATTATTAAATTTCTGGACGGATGTCTAGGGAGCAATACACAGGTTAACTGGCAAGAACACAAGCCCCGATACGGCTTTGAGGATGTGCGTTCAAATCTCGCCTCTTCCAATTTTTTTCCTCCACACAATAATTACTGAGATACCATATATCTGCTTTAGAACTTTTGATTATTAATAATTCTTTTATGATTTTTAAAATAGTCCATGTTTGCTTTTAAAATATGAAACGCCTGTTTGTTATATGTACAATAATTACACTTATCACTTTTCATCAGGCGTGCGTCAACTTGTTTGGCATTTTCAGTGAGCATATGTGAATTTTTATGACTTCTTTTAATGACATTGGGTTTGGCTGTTAAAATATTACATTATTTATGTAGACAGAACAAATCACGATATAAATGTGGGCATAAAAAAAGCAATTATACTGTCAGATACGCCATCAGGAACCTTTTAGCAACCTATGAATATTTTGTCTCGATATTATCATAAAGAATATTAAAATAACAATTGGTACTTATCTACCCAACATTTTATGTATGTATTAAAAAAAATCTACTTGACAAGTTATATGAAATATTTTTGTAGACCTATCTCATCTATCACCCTTTACTGGTGCTCCGCCAGCGTATCCCGTTAGCGCAGGCGGGGTTACCATTCCATTTTCACCCATCAAAAAAAAAACCTGTTTATTTTTGAGCAAGTCAAGTACGAGTTATTACATAGAATGTTTACAGAACCAAGCTTCAAGATGTTTTGTTTATTATACATATTTTTATATAAACTAATATTAATAATTACAGAACAAGTGTCTTATACTATGTTACAACAGACATAAATCCCACTTTTATACCTACATAGAATCATGTCTAAATTAATTTTAAACGTACTGTACTGATGACGCACACCGGCATCCGTAGAAGTGAAAATCTTACACTATTTTTACCAAAGATTTATTATGTGCTATATATAATTAAATAATAATAATATTTTATACATAATATACAAATAGCGTGAAATCTAAATCGTTGTATATAAAGTTAAAATCCTACCTTGCTATAGAATAATAAATATAAATAGGATGACGTGTATACATATTTAAAAAAAAAACAAAAAAGGGAAAACTTAATAAAAACAATAGATGCCAAAACAATCATTTTAAGAAATTATATCTGTTTTTTTCTATGGGTGAAAATGAAATATTGCGAGAGAGATATGAATACAGATCTGTTATCTTATCATGACGAATTCGACTAGAATTAGCCACAATGATTTCCAGAGGGAACCGCATGGAAATCGACCTGATAGAGTATATTACTAGCTATGTTATACGCATAGCTGTGGGTTATGAAACCCCATTTCTAACAATACCTTTCCCTCTGAATGTTTATTCTGGCAACACACAAAAATGACTGCATCAAATTGGATGCAGATTTCATAGTTGTAGTGTGAATTTTGAAGATCTAACTTATAATCTGCTGTATGTTTTATCTTGATATTCCATCTGAAAATGATCTGTCATTGGTTTTCCTTCTTCTAAAATCCATGCATACGAAGTCGCGGGCAAAAAGCTGGTATTAATAAAACTTAAATCAACAATTAACAAATTTTCTTATAATTACTTAACAGCTAAATGCATCAGTCGACAGACTCAAAACATTTATGGTTTTTTGATCCATATTTTTTTGATGAGAATGTTAAATCTCGCTCCTTCCTTAGAAAGATGCTAACGATTTTGATTTCACCTGTATATAGAATGTAGTACCAAACTATTATAGTTATATATTGTGGTGGAGCGTTCAAATTCTAACAAAACTGTATATATTGTGTGTGTTGTGTGTGATACATGTATTAAATACTATTTATGCTTAGTATATGGATAACAACCAATTCCATCAATTACAATAATATGTCGCATTTCATATTTTGTGGCATGTACTTCACGTGGTAATGAGGAGCTATAAAATTAATGTATCATGTCCTCCCTGATTAATCTGACTGAAAAATTTATATTTCTAACAGCTGTAAAATGTTAGAATAACATAAAAATATCACCCATTATACTGTCTCTTGGACTTGATACATTACCGGTACATTTTCTAAATAACCAGGTACCTATTCTGAGTCTACCACTTGTATGATGCCATACTAATTTTGACATATTAAGATGTAACTTTAATGACTTTTCATAGAAAAGTGCAATTATAAGTATTTATGTAAATACAAACTACTATCACTGTTGAAAGTTTTTTGCTGTGCAAATAAAATAATGTTTATGCAGATATGCCTTATTATTTTTTAATCCTTACCTATAAATATGAAAGTTTCCTGTTAGTATCTTAACGCCTTAACCAATTACTATGAAATTTGATCCTGCACGCGATATATGGATGGAGAAGATCATAGACATCTTTTTATCCTGGGCAGTGAACATATCCCTGTCAAACGGACTACGTCATGGGGAAATGATATATATATGTATATTACAAATTGTAAACAATGACGTGATTGGATTGTAAGAAACATTGCACGTTATCTTACATGGTCTATACATGGGATTTAAGAAAAAATTATATGAGGGGTGTTAATAAGTTTTAATGAGTAAGATGGACAAAAGACTACAATATCTTTTGTAAAATGATAACACGGCGCTTATGGTGGGTAGAGAGATATATAGAAAGAAAATATATAAAAATTTACAAATATAACTCGAAAAGTACGTTTAGCACATGCTCCCCTCTTAAACAAATAGTGACGATTTTTTTAAGAAGTCTACGATGCACGCCTGCTTGGGTATTGATATTTACTTGCCGTGTCACGCCGTCTCTACCCATATACAGAGATGTAACTCGGCCTTTAAACCAGGTACCTCGAAGTGACATTCTGTTTACGACATTTCAAACAAATACATAAAACCCCGTGGTAATAGTGTAGGCAGAAAGTCTATAATCCAGAGCTTAAAACATTATCAGGCTCAAGTCTCCCAAACCTTGTTGCTAAAGCTTGAATTACCTCGGTAGAGTCTCGAGCCGAGATCAACAGCACTGCTATAGCATCATGCGCCTCTTCCCGTAGCGCCATATTGATACGGGTTGGGTTGTCAGAGTCAAAATATGCCCATTTCTTATTGTCCTAGACACGTTTGAAGGATAACCAAAACAAACAGGGGGAAAGGGATTGTTAATAATGAGAATTACCGGTTCCATGACTAGCAATATATCCTGGTAGATCAACCTACACGTAATCCCTCACCTCCCTCCTTTCGAAAACCATGGTGCTGAATTCCAGGTGTATTCATCACGATGGGTTTACTGACCTGTCTTTTTATCCTCACCTATCATTGTTCATTAGAATTATATACCGTTACTTAATAATATACCGTTAGCGCAGGCGGGCTTACCATTCCATTATCATCAATTAAAACCAGCCCAAAGTCGTCTATCGCTGAGCTTGTGTAAACTACGCGATTATTAGACACATTATATGAGTATAATGCACTGGAGGTTGCACATAGAGTTGTGCAACCTCCAGACGTATTTAGTCATTTTCATACTGAATATTAGAAATGTGAATTGAGCGATGACTACGTATGCTAACTCTCTCTTCCAAGCCGACAATTTAAATCGTGAGTCCAGAATCACGCGCTGGCTTACAACACTGCGGCGCGTTTTAACATGGTAATTTTTCGAGCATAATCTACTTCTAAGTTACGACTCCTTACCATAGCTGATAACCCTGAAACAGAGCTAGCGGTATCGCTGGGATTCCCGCCGGACTCGGTGAGAGCAGTTAGTGTGAAACTATTAGGGCTTGTGTATTAATGAGTCTGGCTTTGCTCCATAACAAATGTCTTCGCATTTTTTACTGAACGCGTCTCTACCATCATTGTTTTTTTTAGAAGCGAGTGTACCAATATTATGATGAGGGATATAAAGAAAATATTGTAATATATTTTGTGTCATGATAACACGATCGCGTATGATAATGTATTATAATGGTATCAAATAATATAGAAAAAATATATAAAAACTTAAAAACGATAACTCTAAAAGGGTGCTTTTTGTATATTAAGACCAATAGATATTAAAACAAAAATTTTTAGAAACTTTGTCTGTTCATCTGTATGTTTGTTACGGCATCACGCAAAACCACTACATCAAATTGGATGCAGTTTTCACAGATGTATTCTTAAAGTTCTGACTTAAAATCTGGTGTAGTCGTTTGTTTCATTTTGAAACGTTACTCAGATATGATCTATTTAATGGTTTCCCCACTTTCGAAATATTCAAGCATACAAAGAAGCGGGAAAACAGATAGTATAACTCATAAAGTTAGAATTTCATGAACTTTTTAAACTGCGGCATTTGCCTCTACCTACCTCACCTGATGTTACTAGTCATGAACATTACTTATTTTACAACTAAAATTAGTCGGAAAATTGTTTACACAGGGTAATTGTATAATACCAAGCCGAAACACAGTGACAATGTTCATAAAACTAAACAATCTTCCCCAAGGAACAAATACGATTTAAATTTTAAAATCACATAATTATTTTCGTAATTTCAAATTATAATAATTGCATATTAATTTATAGATTTGTGGATATAATCTACTTCTAAGTACTTCTAATCTTCTAACTACTTCTAATCTGGAAATATATCTACTTCTGAATTCATTTATCTCTCTTATGTAAAGGATTTAACTGCAATCTCACAAGATATGAACACCCTACTTAGTATAAGGGAGTAACTACAGTTGTATTGAGCGCTTCTTAATAAATGAATAAACTTCACCATTATCATCGATTGTATCAAACTGAAATTTAAACTATAAAAAAGACAAAATAAAACACAGATATTCATAAATAATATGATTATATTCTTAAATTATAATGAATACACATGTTAACGAAATTGGGTATAACAAAGATATAGTTACAGTTTTAACACCTCAGTGGTTACATGAAAATGCCAGAACCGATCCAATATTAATAACGTTTGACATAAAACATTTTATTAATATACAATTCATAGATAAAATATATATTATTACATAATTTTAATATATTTATAAACATACTATTTGGGGTTAGACTGAGCACAAATATAATAACCATCATTACAAAGTACTTATTGCAAACTTTTCAAATGATAAATCAAACACTACTTAATATAAGTACTTGTTTGACAAGTATCCAGTGATAATGTCACGAGTTATCAATAATTTACACTTACAATATCTACATGTATTATTAGATTTGTGCAAAATCCTTATCGTTCACATATTAATTTAATTATATTGTATTAATGATAATTATATTATTAACGATTAATCTTTTAGATAATCCAATGATATAACAAAAATATTAATTTCACCGTTGGTGTGCTTAAGAAACTAATACGCAGAAGCGTTGCAGTATCATGTCTTTTGAATTAATATAGGTTTAAATATAAAAACTAAACGATATTATTCAAGTAGCGTTTTTTATTACTTCACTTTTTATTTTGAAGCGTTGAATATAACAATTAGGCAAGAATCACTACTCAAAAATACCTAAAAACTACATGAAATATATTTAAGATCTTTAAAAGAAAACAGTAATTGTAGGTATCTTAAAGTATTACAATACGTTAGTGACTTTATTATTAGATAAAAAATCGATCTAAGGAGATTCGTCTGAACAAAGGACGTATAAATCAAATAGTCAATTGTATTAAAGTTTTTTCAGGAAACAAATTTTCATGCATACCTTGATAGTACAAAATTCAATAGGTTATATTTAACAAACTCTTGGTATGCTATTTTTCGAAAGTAATCGTTAAATAAATAAGACAGATTACAAAAATTATTTTATATTATAACACGAGTATGTCAGTTTAATTCTATTCGTTTGTTTCATATAAATTATATAATTTCGACAAAAAAAAATCATACAAAGACTGTTTATTAAATATGCATTTTTTTTTACCAGCGAACACGTTTATACAGTACATCTTCAATTGAAATGTAATCGACATACTAAAGGCGTTAGACCACTAGTTTTTCTTTACATTGTGGTGATTACGTTCTCTGTGGCTGTATTGTGCCTGGTTTATGCGGTTAAATATAAAATTCTATTACAATAAAGACCTTGTTGCAACTGTTTTCTAGTAAATAATGTATTATTCAAAATACGATTAATAAGCACTCTACAATAGCAAATTTAACTCATATCTACTGACATTGACATGAATAAAAATATCAACGGTGCAAAACTAAAAGTATCTTGAAAAAATATTAGCTTATTTTCAATTAAATAAAATTAAATACTTCACATTTATACTACGTATTTACTTATTCCATGTGTGATGTTGAAAAGTTAAAGCATTAATAAAAACACGTACTTGTGTAAATAGAGCACACGATCATGTTCGTATAGAAATAATTTGCGATAAAAAAAAATAATAAAAAACTAAAAAATATTAAGGTCATAAATTACTTATTAAAAATCTTGTGACAAAATAAATATCACTTGTGTGAATACAACAATTCACACTGTTTACTCTCAAATTTCATTATCAGTCAATTGGCGCGACAGGGTGTCGAGTCGTTTATCTTAGCGGATTACAAATTTAAAGCTCTCAATTTATTTTATTGATTCATAAAAGAAATAAGCTCAAAACAATATTATTGACTCCTATAATCTTTTTTTTATATATAAAGCTACATCATACAATAAATACCTTTTCACATATATAACTAATATAACAAATCAATACCAAGTTTTGTGTGTATACTTACAATATTTATTTTTAAAATAAACCCAAATCATAATGACTACAGGAAAAAATATATAAATTTCTCATTTTTATAGAGCACCCGAAAAATTTTTGGAATTCCATTGAATATAATTTACAATAATGAAAAATTACAAAACTCGACTGAAAATTGCGACATTTTACATTAACTAATTTAAAAGAAAATAATCTAATCTGGTTTAGAGTAACGTAAGATAATAATTCATGATTCGTTACAGAAATAGCGTTCCAATGAATTACTTTATGTAAACATTCGTCAAGCGGATATTTTTCATTGGCTAAAAAATAAAACTCAGGCAAAAAATAACATAAATTTCTTCAAGTGATAAAATAACTTATATCCGCTATTTATTATATTTTAAACTAAAGATATATACAAAAACAGAGCAGCAAGAACAGCGAAAGGTAAATAAAATTAAAATAACTTACGACATCAAATGTTATTAGTTAGAGCTTTTTTTATAATATTTTATTCATTTTTTAATTGTAGTCACTTACGCAATAGAGAATTAATAAAGTGATTTATAAATAACTTACTTTTCATCATAATGTTATTTAAATACACAATGCAATAATTTAGAAATGTTAATTACTAATATTTGTGATGATAATGATTACATAAAATCAACCGTCTATTATTTCCTTCCCGTCGATACCACGTAAGCAAAGTCAGTGGTTGTAACACGTTTAAATAATTCAACACACGTAATATAAACTCCATCTGTGTTCCGTTACATTGAATTACATATTTCGCACGTATAACATTAAAATTGTAATAATAAGTATATTTACATAAATAATGCGACTTTGCGATTGCCAATTTCACATTTAATATAAAAATATAGGTCATGTTATTATAAGTTTAGTGCTACGCCAAGTAATGGTTAAGTATCTACAAATGTTTAGCTACAATACCATTAAATCGTTATAAATTTATATACAAATTTCTATACTCTCGAGTATCAATCAAGATATATAATCGCAAACATATGTTTTTTTTTTATAAATTATTGAATCTTGAAATCAAATATATGAATAACGCCAACATAAATAATTAAAAGACAACACTTTTTAACAATGATTAGTAAGATTTATAGTCATAGATATTTTATAAAGCTTGTTTCTTCTGCTTTATACGGTATTTTAAAATGAAGCAAGTATTGTCGGCGTTGTCACATTGGGTATTTTTTTCGCAACTTGGAGTAATGTTTTTCTATTCCTGAAATTTTGAATATAGTTAGGCGCGTAGCGTAAAGATATATAAATTAATGTTTGTAGTCGTCAACATATTCAGAGCACTATCATTGGCCTAGCACTTAAACTTATAAATTAGTTTAAACAAAATAACGCAAAACTTGTAATCTTTAGATATATCGCGAAATTGCCTTATGTAGATTTTTATCTAAAAATATTAATTTGCTAGATTTTCTTATATTTCTGTTTCATTTATTTCGGGAGATTTATTGATAAATATAAATGTTCGTCAAAATAATAATACATATAAACATGCAGAAAACTAATTGCGTTATTTTATTTAAATACGTAAATATACTATATAAAACAGTATGATAATTACAAACATACGATATATAGATCTAATCGAACTAGACGGGCGGTATTGTCCACAACACGGCCGTTTTATCCGCCGACGTGGACAGGAATGAGAAGTCGTCGGGGTGCCACCGAGCCGATATCACTTTATCTGGATGACGAGCTACCGGTACACTCGGTAAAGCGCACGTTAGGTCACCTGTTGGAGCAATAAAAATAGACTTTTATACGTGTAAAAACAAAAAGAAGGGGAAGCTTTGAAAAGGGTATACTAATGAAACTGAAAAAAAATAACTTTTGAGCTTCATAGCGTGTAGTTTGTATTGGAAGCTCCAAATTGTATGATACATAGATACTCTTTATTGTTTCCTACAAAAGATTATAGTAGTAAACTTATTATAAAAAGATACAAACAATTTCAAGAAAACTTCAGTTTCATCAGTTATATGGTGTTGCTCTACAATGAATAATTAAAAAAATATTGTCAATATAGCTTTACAATATAATCTAAAATAAAAAATAGAGTCATAGTGAAAACCTAAAATAGATGTATGTATTCGTATTATTTAATAAAAAAAGATAACATTATAATTTCGTGTTTATTTCCCAATTCATAAATATTTTAATAATAATAGTATGTAAATATACTCTCATAAATTGACTAGAGCCGGTTAGGGTAGGACGGCACAATTTATGAAGCTAATATAATGTATTCAAACTTTGCTTTCTCGTTATTAAATCAAAGAGTGACCCCCTTTATTTATGCGTTATACCAACATACTGCACGATACAACACTTTAATCAACTTTTCCAAGAATTTGTATGGTTTTAATACACGTTTCTATAACAGATTAATTAATAACTATTATAATATAATTTAATTATTAATAATGGATTAATTATAAGTTTTTAATAATATATAACATTGTCTGCCACAGAATAATATAATAATACATAAGGTACATTTTTATTTAGCACTCTCGGTCCACCTCGATTTCTCACAGGTAGAAATTATCCCACTTATATTAAGTACAGATAGTTTAGAAAAATGAATTTTATCAAAAAGCAAATGTGTCACATATATTACAAATAAAAATGAAACATATACTTCTCAGTTAAGCTTTACACTATAGTAAAGCCTATGGCAAGGGCCATAACGGCATAGCGCTATACATTTCCACTTTTACCTCTATTTTCATAAAAACACATTTAAAACTTATTCTATTTGCTGAACCTACAAAATATTTAAATAGTATAAAACCAAAGTTCATCATCATCATATCAGCCGTTAACTGTTCACTGCTGAACATAGGTCTTCACCATAAGAGGGGGTTTGACAGTAATCGTCACACTTGGCAGGCAGGTTGGCAACCGCTATTAGGCTTTTATCATGTTTTAAGAGGGACGCTTCTGCCCGTCCCTTAACCATTTAGATCCCTTAGTCGCCTGTTACGATACCCACGGGAGAGAAAGGGATAGCTCATTCTATGCCGCAACCACACGGTTGAACAAAACCGAAGTTGCTTACTTGTAAATCATACTATTGATTTTGCTACGGATTTCACAGTTTGATACACACATTGAGATATTTTTTTTATTAGAGGATTGTGTTTATGGAAAGTTTGCATATACTATTTTAACACGTGCGAAGCCGCGGCGAGTCGCTAATAATACATAATGGGGAACGATCTATTAAGAAGTCAGATTTCGCCCAACCCTCAAATAACTTGATGGTCTCACCGGATCCATCAATAAAATCACTCAAGTTATTGTACATTTGAAACATTTGCCCAACGGTAGGCAGATGTTAAGTTTAATTGGAGCGGTGACTAAGAGAATCCGGAATACGTATACAAGCCTGTTTAAAATTAATCAAAGGCGAAAAGTCAAGTCACTGGTACGTCATTACTTTATATTTTCTAAAACGTAGTATATAATAAGTAATATAGAACAAAATGTAAATTAATTTCGTCTCGTATAAATTAAATAAGAATATTTTTAGAAACCATATACATGACCATAAAGGGCTAATGGCGCGGAAATATTAGGTAATCATATAACTTTTCCTTCTGCTATAGTAAGTTATTAACAGATTTTCATATAAATTGTATTCCCTCTTTTTATTCAAGTAAAGACTTTCACCGCGTTTTGGATAAAACAATATGGTACTTTTCCGAGCAAGGATAGCTTATAAATAATAAAACATATTTTTTAAATCTCTAACATGTGACTTTATTATGATTCTGAGGCTTCACCAGATTTTATTAACCAGTACTAAATAAATCGCATACTCGAAAAAGATAAATAACTCTAGTGTGAATTACTTGATAATATTATAAGTGTGATAGTGAGATTGTCAACTCTTGGCATCTTAGTCATACAACTAATAGTCATGAAATTTGGTATACACTTACTATATGAGATGGAGAAAAACAACATACTATGTGATAAGATTAAAGTTTATCCCGATCAAGCAAAGTGCTAATACTAATACTATTTTAAATAAGTTTTACTTTCCAATTTTCCAAATATCCAGTTGATTCTGAATACTGTTGAAATGAACGTAAGTAGATATATGGATGGACGCAAAGTATGGACTGCAGCGTCCCTCTTAAAACGTAACAAAGCCTAATTGCGGTTGCCAATCCGCCTGCCAAGCATGACAACTACTGGCAAAACCCTCCAAGGGGGAGGCTTATGTTCAGCAGTGGACAGTTAAAGGCTGATACGATGATGATGAAATATATGAATATTGTATAAAAACGCAGTCACAATGAAATATGAATACCTACATCCCATTTATAATGGTAACGACAGCATGTGTTTACCCCATAATAATCGCTAATGGAATGAAGTTTCATTTATGAGTGAAATACGCGACCAAGTGACGCCATCCGCGGAAAATTGGCCCTTGTTTAAAATACAGTAACAATTTAAATTTACGCTATAAACATTAATGTAGAATATGTTTAATGCTGATCTTACGTTATCTAAATTGTATTCAACGGTTGAATGTCATACGATTTAAACAAAGTGTTTTAGTTTTTACGACCGCAACTACTTCAACATTTATAGTGTCATTATAATAAAACACGAATTTTATCATAATGTTTAATTTAGGAACACGACTTATATTTATATAAGTAACTAATATTTTTTAAATTAATTCAAATATAGAAATTCTCATTTCTCATGTATTTTTTGTATGTTACGGTATATATCTGCGTCAAAAACAACAAAAAAAAAGTAACTGATAAAACAGCTGCAGTTCATAATCCTGTAACTAAAAGATAATCTTTTCAGTAAATTGAATAGACTAACCTTGTAAATCAGTAAGCACAACCCTTCCATCGTAGCCCGCAGTAAGAAGATAGTATGCTCCGGGGGAGAATCGGACGCTTCTGACATCACCAGAGTGTGGCGTAAAGCGTTGCAACGCTCTCGAGCCGCGGACGTCGTGAAGCGCGCATGAGCCGTCATCGTGGCCGCACACCAATAACCTCCCACTAGGGTCTACTGCCAGTGAGGCCACCGCTGAACCCTATCGTAAACAACATTAATTATAGATAGAAAATAATTTCTAAATTAACTTAAGATTAAATTTTGCCGCTATCAAATTGGGTCAAAAGAGAGGACGCATCAAATAGGCGTTAATTCGACGTCGCCTTCCCTTGTACTTGGTAATACAATTTTTTTTACAGACCACGGAAACATATAGAATTGTAGGACAAGTAAAATAAAAAAAAAAGTATTATAATTTTAAATGTGTCCCTTGGTCATTCACAGGTATGTTAGTTGAAAACTGTTTTCGGATCAAAATCACTTTTGTATGTGCAACCAATATAAGTGCACAACAACTGAGATAATACAAATTTAACTACAATACATTGCTGTTGGAATGTTTAGTACAAAAATGAAACTGTAATGTTCATATACAGTTACAATTTGACACTTCGTTACAAAAGGAGTAGGTATAAATACACAAATATTTGAACATCATTATCACAACATAGGTGCCGTTTGTTCTGTCGTAAAGAATTGAGTAACAAACTTACTATCCTATATTGTAGTAGAAATAAACAATTTGCAATAAAACCAGACTAAGTATCATTAAATATACAAGTATACTGTCAATTTAGTATAAAGAATAAATTGAGTCAACACACAATCGAAGCTATCCTCACAAATATTGGGGAAATTTATGGCTTTCTCAACCGACGCATGTTTATTTGTAATAAAGCAAATTAAGCTCAGAGCAAATAAATGTTAGTCCTAATACCATAGGAAAAAATATATTTTTCAAATATAATTACCCTGTTGGATAACACACAAAAGTTTGATTACTATCATCGGTTGCACCGAAACGGTACTATGCACTCTGTTGGCGCATTTTCAATGGAAACTGTATCAATATCAATATTTTGGGAAAATCGTGCGCCTGCTGGAAGTATTTATTAGACCACAAAGATATTCATTGCTAATTGTAAAACGGCAGTTACGAGCTGTTAGATATTCTAATCACAATCTCGTTTAATCTCCTAAAATTAATCCGGCGTAATTAGGGACTTTAATAATATGTTTTTAGTTCATTTTAACGACGTAACCTCAAAATGTCTAGTGACGTTTGAAATAATATTTTCCAAACTATCGCTAATGGTTAGTCGACGATATAGATAGACAATAGACCGAGAACAACAGGAGTCAACATTTATAATTTCATCCAGATTAAAATGACAGAATTAACCAATTAAATAAAAAAATATTATTTTATTTAATTTTATTACTTGGGATATAAAAAAAAATCCGCTTTAGTCGTACCATGTTTTGTTTCAGTATAATCCACCAATGAAACTATGCAGACTACGTTAATGTTATGCCCTCGGCGTAAAATGCCTATTAAACTGTTATATACAAAATTAATCGTACTACGATTCCTGTAAACTGGCTTTTTTTATTCCATTTAATATAAATTATAATATAGTCTTATACCTGTTATAAAAAGACAATAAAGACTCACTTTATTCGGTTGTCCGGCTGGTGGAGATATGATATTAACGCAGCCGCCGGTACGGAGGTCCCAGAAGCGAACAGTTTTATCCTGACTTCCTGAGACGAACATCGCTCCACCCCAGTTATACAGTGACAACACGTGACCAGAATGTCCGCTCAGTGCCTGTACATGAAAAAAAAAACATTAATAATAAATTTTCTTGCCACGACTGAATAATTCAGGAAGAGGTAGTAAGAGAAATTTTCAAATGTTACAAATGTGGTGAACTTAACAGTCCTGCCCATATTTCCATACAGACCGCCCGTTAAAGTGATCTATTTGGTATGAAGATTAAATGGAGTAGGTACACAATGTAATAATAATTTAGTGTTAACGGTTTATTAAGTGCATCAATAGCGCTATAGTGATGGAGAAAAAATACATTTACTTTCATAATCTTCTATATTATCCACCCTTATACAAAATTATCGCACGGCTCCCTCGTTTCTTAAGGCGCGCCGCACATTCCCTTTGCTTTCATTTTATCACGCGCAAGATAAAGTAAATATAAGCTGATCATTTGCGACTTATGACGGTGATAGAGTACCGGCTCTTACAGTATCACCAGCGTTATGCATGTTAACGAGAAATAAGTTGTAATATTATTACACTTGTACAAGTATTACATAAGACCTCGATATAATCAAGCGGATACATACTTATAGAATAAGGCTAGTAGGTAAGCAGTAGTACGTAACTGTGAAAGAAAGAAAAATCGTGTCTGTTGCAGGTTGCAGTTGCAATTGATGATCATTTGTTTTGTTGTTTTGATCTCTGTTTATTTTAACCCTTAGTTCAATAGGTTATAAATATTTTATAAGTTTCTAAAGTGCAACATAGGTTAACATTTTGGGTTTCCCTCCACGATTTAATTATAACCCAGATATTTTTTAAACAACAGCAACAGCAACCTATTATTGAAATTCTAATTTAAGTTAATTTTATGAAAAAAATCCTCATCAAAAATCTAATATGGAATTAATAACAAAAAAAAAAAATATTTAGGTATATCTATCTATCAATTACCTAGGAGCACAAGCTTTGCTTAGTTTGAGAGTAGATTAAGATAGTATTGTCTTGGACCGTTTTTATTACCGACGTGGACTGCACTACATCGTGGTCACGATGTGCAATACATGTCGAAACATCGGCAATAAAAATCAGGTACGAGTGTGTAGGTACTATTTACCTGCAATTGCGGCGCTTTAAGTCCCGATAGTGTATTTAAAATTTGTGTCAACAACAAGAAAGTTTAAAATTAACTAGGACCGCTTTATTACATTTATTCATTGAAAATTTATGTTTTAATTTTTTTTATAAATATGATGAAATATAATGCGTTGTTAAAAATTTTATTATCATCTAAAGATTTAGTCACATTTCTTTAACCTTTATAATTTATACTAATATTATAAAGAGAAAAGATTTGTTTTTTTTTTTTGTAATACATAAACTCAAATACGACACTACTGATTCTACAAATTTTCTACTTATAGAAATATGTACTATAAGAGAGACACATATATATTATTTTCGAAAATCTATCTGCCGGGACGGATAGCTAGTTATATATAAAATAGCCAAGCATAAACGCGTGTTGTATATTTTGCGCTAACATTTGTTCGCTGTTACTTTTCCTCCCTGACATATATTAGTTTTATACAATACCCAAAATAATGTTTGGTAAACATCGGATCGCGTCATTGGATCGCGAACGAGGTCGTCGTTATTTTATAAAGCCACTCTAGCTGTAACCCGTGGCTCTGACCGTGTAAATTAGAAAAAAGTATCTTATGTATTAAAGTAGCTTAATATGATCCGTCTGTGTATTAAATTACATTTAGTTTAGCTCCCCTGCGACACATTTAAGGTCATCGCCTTATGTAATGAGGTATACCTACCACTGTGTTTACTGGTTCCTCGCGATTCACTTGAAACCACAATCAGGATTCACACGTGTGTCCAGGAATAATTTTTCTCCCTCTTTAATTCATGATTGAGTGGATTAAAAATAGCAACAGTATTTTCTTTATTGATTTCAATCTAAATATTTGTGGATTCAAATATAATTATACTTTTTCTATTCCACTTCGATCCGTACATTTCAAAATTTACTCAAAGGTGAAGCTAATGAACTAAGTGAGAAACAAGTGAACTGAAGCGTCCGTTCTTTGAGCAATAAGGATGCATGACGATCACGATGCTACTCAATCGTGTCTAAATTGCACAATTAACTTTCAGTAATTGGAGGATGAATGACAATTCTAATAATATTAATTCGTCGTTGAAGTAGACAACACAATAAATTACCGCCGTTCGCCATGGATGTTGAATGGAAACTAATCCAGAATGAGACCGTTATTTATAAGCTATGATAATCCTAATGGTGAACACTGCTGAACTCACAAATTTCGAGTCGTTTAACTATAAAATTACATTAATGTTTCATGCCGTTGTTCCGTGCATTTAGGTTGGGAGATAACAATCTTTTTACCTGAATGACGGTCGTTTACTGAATATTAAATGTTATATATCAAGCGAATCTTTACCAATAAAGATGTGCCAATGTTTAAAACTATAAATGATTCGATAAATCCTATTAATATTTTAAATGTAAAAGTTTGTAAATATGTTTGGATGTTTGTTACTCAATCATGTTGAAAAGTTTGAGCGGATTTAAATGAAATCTACTACACGGGTAGAATGTTTAGATCCTAAATTAACACATAAGATACTTTATATATTGTTGTATGCGGGCAAAACTGTAGGTAGCGACTAATATTATACATTGAAAAGCGAACAAAAATATAACACAGTTTTAAAGCGACTTCGAAGGATTAAAAATTTCCCTGGATTTTTTTTGTGTATGTGCACTTGACAACTACGTGAATTTATTGAAATAATTTTCATTATTCTTTTGTGATATAAGGTGCAATAGAAGTTTCCATAGATACCTAGTTACTTGAACCTTTATTAGAATTTAAAAAAATTGTCGTTTTCAAGTCATGAGAGAACGTTGCGTTTCACTAATCGAAAATATAAAAGGATTTACTCGTAATGAGTTCAATCCTATAAACGTAAACGTACAACTATATATACATTAATGCACACACATATAAAATCAATCAAAATCATATGGAGAATCGGATAATAAGATTGATAGGTACGATTTAAGAAAAACCATCAAACTCCCCATTAACGTGTATCCGTAATTTCATTTTATCTCTGTCCAAATCGAAATGATACGTTTGATTCGTGATTGGCAATAGAGTTCTTACGACTGGTGTGACCGTTGTGGGTTGGCACTAAAACGGTCCACATAAAGTACCTACACAAAGTGCTATTATGTGTAACTGATTCAAGAAATATACGATTGTGACAAATACCAAATAATAATATAGTATACCATACAATATCAACTGTTAAATGTCCACTTGCTAAACATGAACCTCCCTCTATTGAGGAATTTTGTTAATTGTTTGACGTTTTAAAGACGTTTGAAGGACGGGTTGACAACCGCAGTTAGGCTTTGGTGATGATTTAGAGGTATGCTGTTAGCCATCCTTCGATCATTAAGTTTTCTTAGTCGCCTCGTATGTGTGCGTGTATATGTATATATATATATATATATATATATATATATATATATATATATATATATATATATATATATATATATATATATCTTTATTGCATTTATAAATTACATACAATACATAGATAAGACAGTTATAAATCATTTAAGCAAGGGTGGACTTATCATTGAAAGATATCTCTTTCAGCTAACATTAGAGGACAGCTAAACTGCATAAGTGCTAATAATACATAAGGTACAAATAATATATGAATAACAAATATATAAGATTATACAGCGTACGTAAATATATAAACCTTACTCACTTATACAATAAATGTAAGAATAAATAAATATGCTACCTAATATATATATATATATATATATATATATATATATATATATATATATATATATATATATATATATATATATATATATATATATATATATATATTAAATATGAAAAAAAAGACGAATCGAGGGAGAGAAAATGTAATTTCAACATTTTCTTATACACAATAGTCGAAAGTGCTTAAATTTAAAAATACGAGTAAGTAAAGTGCACTCAAAGATTTCTATAAAGTCCCTCGCTTCAATAAGTATCGAGATGCTGTAAAGATGAAATAAAACACGTACAATAGAGGTCCTTACATCGTCTCCTTTATTCTTTTTCATTTTAATGTAATAAAACATATTTTTGTATTACTGTGCCTAATAATAATAATATTTGATTTATATCTATAATAGTTATAAAATATAACATTGCCTTCCCGTGTAGTAATTTTTTAAAAATACTCAAGCATTATTTATAGTGTTCAGTTAATCACTTGGTCCCACACATATATGTTATATGATATAATATCATATATGAAAAGATTTCGATAATTGTTCATAGTAATTGGCAGGATTTATTTCAATGGTGGAGAGAATTTCAATAAACTTTTATTTACAGTTTTACTTGGCATAATATTTGTTAATAATTAATATCGCTCTTAAATTCTGAATCTAATTACCAAACAAACACTATTAATTTAATAGATATTATCATTAGATAAAAAAAAACATTAATATATTTTATATATTGACCGAACTAGGACTGAACCCGGAACTACTCGTATATACAACGTGAAATAACGGACACTGCATATTGATTGTACTGCCTCCTACTTTTATCCACTTATGTAATACATTCACGGTACTTACTGTTATTTTAAATCCCAACAAAAATCTATATGTACTATACTTATACATATTTATGATATCTAGTTTCCTGGCAAAGTAATAAATAATATAAAAATAAATCGATTGTAAACGATACTCAGATAAATACGACAATTAAAATGCACAAGCATTAAATTACACTTAATTACTCGCATTTAAATAAATATAATGAATCAGAAATTCAGAATTCATTCTACATTAAATAAAACTTGATACGATAATTACGAGGGCAAATTTCCAAAAAAGGCTATAAATAGTCAGGATATTGGAGTTAATTTCATATTGAAGTATAAATATAACAATAAATAAAATAAAATAATAAAAT